AAACAGTAGATATTTCAACTATGAGAATAAAAAAATTAATATAAAAACAAAATTATATAAATAAACATATACAAACAGTAGATATTTCAACTATGAGAATAAAAAAATTAATATAAAAACAAAATTATATAAATAAACATATACAAACAGTAGATATTTCAAATATGAGGATAAAAAAATCATATAAAAAACATTATAGGAAAGACACAAACTGTAAAATTCCCCATAAGTTTGACTTAAGCTAGCATATACCTTTTACATAGTGTTAACTAGGTTTTGGCCATTTTATCAGAAATGAAATATTTTCATACTATGCTTTTTGTATAAAAATGTATTGAAATAATTACAAAGACATATTCTGGCACATGTTGTGTATCATTATCGCTGTGGTTAATTTGTATATGATAAAAATAAAAAATAAAAAATAAACGCTCTTGATATCTTCTACAAACATGACTGAACTGCTCCTGAAAATGGGTCCAGACTTTGATGGTATGTGAAGAATTAGTCTGAACAAAGAAAAACTCTGAAAATTAATTACGGCACTAATGAGTATGCCCTAAGTAGGACATATGCTACTGTGACTTTTAATAAAAACCAAACCTCTTACCAACTTTACCTTAATACATACTACAGATACAGTAATAATACATATGTATGCCAATTTTGAAGTGTATAGCTTCAATAGATCTCAGGTTATGAGTTAAAAACTGCTATGGGAATGTCAATTGTCAGATTTTGAGAAAAACGTTTTTGAAAATTGGGTGCAAAAACTTACATCATTAATATGTTTCTGTGTATTAATGGGTATATGCTACCTGAACCATAAGCACAAAACTTTAAACGAAAAATATATCTTTTTCATTTTTATGTGTCTTTATATATTTCTCTTTTTATCTATTTTTTTCTCTCTCACTTTCTATCTATTTCCATCCTAGGTAATAATAAAATAGTTTCATGATAAGTTTGTATTCTATACAGAAAGTATGTTTACATGGCTGATTGGGTACTTTACAAATTTCACATCAATAAATCCTTTCAACTAATAGAAACTTAGAAGTCGATATTCAAGAACAACTGGTTCATTTCACAATTTTAAAGGTAACTAAAACACCATTAAAACAAAACATGAGTTACGTCTACAAAACGAGGGATGGTATAAAGTGTAATTCCAAGCAAACTTATCTATCAGAGATTATTTGAGGAGGGGGGATTAAAATGTAAAAGTTTGCTTAAAAGCAAACCTGCTCGATTTTGAACTTCAGAAGTAGCAGTAGTTTGTTGAGAACAAGCTGCTTCTTATGTTGACTCTTAGGTGTTTTTTTAACACCTATTTCAAACTGAGCTTAAACTTCAGGTATTTCTCATATACAGCTCTATTCAACTCCAGAAGGTCTAGTATTTGATATGATATTTTACCACCATGCCACTTACTTATTCCATCCTGTAATACAAACTAGGTTAGTAGAACTTACAAGACCACTGAATAATGATGAGTACAGTTGTTTTTAATAACTCTAAAAAAAAAAGGGAGAGGTAATTCAAACTGTGTGAGAAACAACAATATGAACAATATACAGATGAAAATATTTGTTTTTCTTAATCTGTTTTGCATACTGCAGGGATTTTAAGATTTTGACAATAAAGTTAGAAAGATGAAGGATCTTTACTTTCTAAATAATAATAAAAAGACTTTATATTTCAGCCAACATTTCACCAATGCAAATTAATCAAGTTGAGTAGCACAAGAATGATTCGATCCACTTGATGTGACAGAATATGTAGATTGGCTGAAATAAAAACTTTTTATTGCTATCTAGAGAGTGAAGGTAGTTTTCTTCCTAAATAAATACAGATTAATTCAACAGTATCAATATCTTTATATATTCATAAAAAGGATGTTAAGTATACACTGAAAATGGCGACAAATATAAACACAGTAATCTGATCAGCAAAGTTGATCCTGTATCACTAACTAGGTGTTAAGTATACACTGAAGATGGGAACAAGTTATGAATGATAAATACAAACACAGTAATCTGATCAGCAAAGTTAATCCTGTATCACTAACTAGGTGTTAAGTATACACTGAAGATGGGAACAAGTTATGAATGATAAATACAAACACAGTAACCTGATCAGCAAAGTTAATCCTGTGTCACTAACTAGGTGTTAAGTATACACTGAAGATGGGAACAAGTTATGAATGATAAATACAAACACAGTAAACTGATCAGCCAAGTTGATTCTGTAACAATAATTATCTTGAAGAAGGGAACAAGTAATGACTGACAGATATAACTGATGATAGTGTTATGTAAATACAAACATTATGACTGGTAGATATAAGTGATGATAGTGTTATGTAAATACAAATATTATGACTGGTAGATATAAGTGATGATAGTGTTATGTAAATACAAACATTATGACTGATAGATATGAATATTTTAGTTATAACATATGATGATAGTGTTATGTAAATACAAACATTATGACTGATAGATATGAATATTTTAGTTATAACATATGATGATAGTGTTATGTAAATACAAACATTATGACTGATAAATATAAATATTTTAGTTATAACATATGATGATAGTGTTATATAAATACAAACATTATGACTGATAGATATAAATATTTTAGTTATAACATATGATGATTGTGTTACATAACTATACTTTAGGAGTGATGCTGTAATTATACTTTAAATATCAGACATGATGATAGGTGTGTTATTGTCATCATGGTTTAGATATAACATGTGATGATAGGTCTGTTATTGTAATAATATCTTAGATATAAGATGATGATAGTTGTGTTTTGTGTTATCATATTTGAGATATAAAATATGATGGTAGGTGTGTTACTGTAATCATACTTTAAATATAACACATGATGATATGTGTCTTATTGTAATCATACTTAAACATAACATATGATGATAGATATGTTATTGTAATCATACTTTAGACATAACATACGATGATGATTGTATTAGTGTAATCATACTTTAGATACAATATATGAAGATAGGTGTGTTACTGTAATTATACTTTAGCTATAACACATGGTGATTGTATTAGTGTAATCATACTTTAGTTATAACACATGGTGATTGTATTAGTGTAATCATACTTTAGATACAATATATGAAGATAGGTGTGTTACTGTAATTATACTTTAGATATAACACATGGTGATTGTATTAGTGTAATCATAATTTAGCTATAACACATGGTGATTGTATTAGTGTAATCATAATTTAGCTATAACACATGGTTATTGTATTAGTGTAATCATACTTTAGATACAACATATGACAATAGGTGTGTTATTGTAATCATACTTTAGATATAACACATGGTGATTGTATCATATGACGATAGGTGTGTTATTGTAATCCTACTTTAGATATAACGAGAATACTAATAATGTAGAACTTAAAGTTGATGATAATATAAGTAAAGTCTTTAGTCTACATATTCCAAACAGAATGGGTTACAGACATTAAGTTAACAATATATCTACGGAGGAAATAAAGTTAGAATACGGCTTGAATGAGTAGTGAAAGAAACTTTATTACAATATATATTATAATGTTTCGACAAGCTTATGAAATATCAACGTCGGTTGAAACAAAAGTTATCTTACAATTATTTGTAGTGTAAAGGTCGTTCTGTTGTAACTTTACTATCAAAATATGTAAATTCCTCCAGAATATACTGGAAATTCTGAAGGACAGCAAAAAATAGGTCCTACATTGTCATAAAAAATAATTTAATTAAAATAAAGTGTTTGAGTTGTTTACAATTCACAACTGAGAGTTGATAATATCATAACAGCTTTTTAAAAGACGCTATCACTCTGACACCTGTTTACCAAAACTGTCATTTGTTTTGAATACAAGGTCGTCATTTAACGTGATTTACATATTTCGTTTTCTAACAGAATCAAATGAAAGAGAATTTCTACAGAACCAAGAATATAGAAAAAGTTATTTCACGTGAAGAAATTGTAGTGTTATGTATAGGAATATTTCTCTACACAATTGGAACAAAACAAGTTTTATGTTATCACTGACAAAATCTTGAACTTACTTCTTCATTAGCTCGAGCTAGCTGCTCCTCTAAAGTGGTAGCTCTTTCTGATGACAATCTAAGCTTCTCCCGAACCTATTTACAGAGACAACTTGCATCTAAGACTCTTCTTTTTGTCCATTAAAATCCCTCACATTTTTGACACTTATAATTACAGCATTGAAATTCTAAGTTAGTTGAAAAACTTTGTCAAGCCGTTGTTAAAGTGGATAACTTTCCAGAGAAGATATGTTCGTTACGGATCTAATATTAATTTGTCAAAAACATTTTATGCGCAGCATCAAAAGCAAAGAACATCCATAATTTAACGCTTAGAACTACAACTTTCATCAATGTCAAACTACAGCACTTAAGTACTCATTAGACTTAGTCAAACTTGAAAAAAGAAACAAAAGTTTAGAGGTTCTTCTGTCTGATAAAGAGCCCATTAAAAGTTTATATTCAAACAGTGATGAGCTTAGTCTCAACAATTACAAGTTTATATATACTATTTGTGTTTATCTAACGTCACACAGACACGCGTGAAAGTTGTATGGTAGAGACTGAAATCTATAAATATTAAAACATTAGAACACATAGAAAAGTTGTATCAACTGAATCACAAATTACTGATGGTACGTCTAATATGAGTGTTGTATCAACTGGAACACAAATTACTGACGGTACGTCTAATATGAGTGTTGTAGCAACTGAAACACAAATTACTGACGGTACGTCTAATATGAGTGTTGTATCAACTGGAACACAAATTACTGACGGTACGTCTAATATGAGTGTTGTATCAACTGGAACACAAATTACTGACGGTACGT